AATAAGTTTTATTTACCAAATATATTCTGGAAGCAAATAAATTTTACTTCTGTCAAATAAATAATTTATTTTACAGAACTAAATTAATTAATAAGTATTGCTATAGCTTTGGCCCGCTATATTTACGTCTACCATTTAGTAATAGTAACCAAATTTTGATAATATTTACTAAATTTTTCTCTCAGTGTAGTAATTTACAAATACGTACGTAGATTTTTAGTTATTAATTGAAGAACATTGGTGCATTGTCACGATCATCCGTCAGTCTTCTTCAATTAATAACTCAAAAATCTACGTGATTGTTTGCAAAATGGTATAGGACTTTTTCTCCTGTTTGACCTAATTTACAAGCATACGACGGCAGGCGTCGTCTATCGCAGTTCATCTATTGCATCGCGCGTGATCATTCGCCAATCTTTTCTAATTAATAACTCAACATTTTACATGTTTGTTTGCAAAAGCGTAGAGGAATTTTGTGTTCAGTTAGATCTAACCTATATATACATAAGACATTTATCAGACATCCTGTATACTCATATATTTATCGCATAGAATGACAACATAAAAATACGAAAATAGTTTGTTAAAATAATACAGACCCCATTTTGTCTCTTTTTCAAAAACTTCAAGTATCTCAACTATATAATACACCGATTTGAAGCTTAGGACGAATAAATTAAGAATATAAAATCTCTCAATATTATACTCGTAGTCGTTTAGATCGATTATCTCTCAAACGACTGCGAGAATAATATTGAGATTTTATATTCTTAATTTATTTATTTTATTTATTTTATTTACTGAGATTTTATTCTTATCTCGTCCTAAGCTTCAAATTGATATATCATTTATTGGAATATTCAAAGTTTTACAAAATCCCGTGGAAAAGAGATTTGGCCGTATTCTTTGCTCAAAATAATATTTTATGCAAAGTACGAAACACTGAGTATAACTTTTGATAAATTTGCTTCTGCATCAATATAACACAAACTTTACTATATGAAATAAATTTAATGATTAATTCAATGCAATTTATCTGCTTTATAAATGTAATTAAAACATTTGTAAAGTTTTCATTATCGATTGTCTCAGGTAGTAATAATCATGCCTGTTCGGGCAAGAATCTCTCAATTCTCCTCTCGGATTTTTGGCACCCGAAATTAAAAAGTTCGTAATATTATGTGTATATATATGTGTGTGTGTGTGTATACCCACGCGCGTAACGGTACATCACACACGTATTCGCTGGACAGCCCGCACGTTATCGATACTCCACTGACAGCAGCGATATTCTTCTCTCCAGGTATCAGTGTATTATCACGGAGAAAAACAGCGTGAATATTCACTGACGATTATAGTTACAAGTATATCACTGCAAATCAATGAAATACTTTTGATTGAATCAGTTACTTGCTGGTACAGTTTCCATCATTTTTTCCAATGTCTCATGATTGCTGGGGACAGTAGTAGATTGTTAACATACACACCAAAGGTTCACGTCGTGTCTTCCTTTGGTATCTATGATCAAAAGCGGTCACTCATCGTATTCTAACCATGCTAAACAGTGTTTAACTTTAACGATTCGAGCGACACGCGGTGATCTCAATGGCTCTAACGATGTTCTTAGAACTTATGCTTATATAATATATCTTTATATAATATATCTTTATAGTGTTCACAGAACATTATAATATATTTTGTAAACATTGAAATGACGGAACATTAAATATGAGATGAATATAATACATAATATATAATGTATAATGTATATTGGTGAATAATATATAATGTATAATGTGTATTAATGAATCAGTGATGTGTAATTGTAAATTAGAGCTGCGAATAATGCATTTCTATATTATTGATTTTGCAGTGAAATATTACTTCTACTGATGGAAATCAGTGAAATGTAAGACGGATCAACGTCTTACCAAGATGGCGGTATTTCCACTAAGAATCAGTAATACTCACTGATTACCAGTGAGATACTGTTTTTTACTGATTCAATGAGTGCCATTCTCACTGATTGCCCTGGAGAGAGTAGATCGCTACGGATCGTCTTTATCCATGGCGGGTCGTAAGATTTAGCGGTCGAGCGAAAAACTTTAAGGGGAAACTTTAAGGGCTGAAGCTGGAAACTTTATCGACAGAATACTGACATTTTTCTATAAAATTTATATTGTATTAGTTGTACAAAATTACAAAACATTTTGCGCAATGAAAAATTTTGTTGCTTAAATTTTGTTGTTTAAATAGCTTACTTACTTTTTACTATATTATATATGATTTAGGTTTTTGTACCTTCAAATTCTTATCATGAACAAAAATATAAAAAATTCAAGTATAGTTAATCTTTACAATAATTTTAAGAAAATTTGCATCATAATAAATTAATTATAGCATTACGCACGAAAGTTTGAAACTATTAATGATTTTGCTTGCCTCTTGATTAAAAAATGTATTATATGATATAATTTTCATATACTTAAATAATTATATTTTTTGACAAATTGAAATATGTAATACTTTTTTTTTAAAGGTTCAAGTGTTGATAAGAAAATACTAAAATATTGACAAAAAATTCTAAAATGTTAATTTTTTAAATTTATTTCCAATAAAGTTATAAATTTTTATGTAAACTCACAGTTTTATTGCGTCTTCCTACATTTGCAATAAAATGAAATGTTTAAGTGCATATTTTCAATTACTTCTGTACATAATGCTATTCTATAGACTTGAAAGTATATTTACAATTTTCTACAGATTTTTATTAGCATTTTTTTGGAATATAAATAAGCGAGGACAAAAACGACTTCAGTGTGCCAAATTGAGGCACGCAAAGCATATATGCCATATGAGGGTCAATTATTAATAAACCTCATTATCTATTCCCAATTATTAAATCATCTATTAATTCTTTTTAAGATTTGCGAGAAACGTCCAAATATTATTATCCTCTTGTGGTTTAAAATTACTCGCACTAAGATTACTGGTCTACAAAAAAATATAATTTTTTGTCACATAGATTGAACTATGTGACCTATATAATATTTTTATACTAAATTAAAAAATGCAAACTTTTTTCTACTACCCAGGGTTTCACAGTGATGTGATTTTTAAAGGGATACTGAAGCTGAAAACTGTACCGACAGAATACTGACATTTTTCTGCAAGGTTTACGTTATATTGGTTATACAGAATTATAAATGTTTTTATTTCATTGATTCACGTTCAACGCAATGAAACTTCGTGCAAATTATTTTGTAGTTTGTCTCTTAAAAATATCATATTAAAAAGATGTCATATTGGTTTTCATCTAATACTCATGTTTTCCTCTCTTTCTTCGGTTGTATACTTACACACAGAAAAATATCATACTACCAAGAGCGGTTACTCAGTTTATTTTTTTTAATTTTAAATAATGGTTATCTTAAGCAAAGAATATTTTTTTGGCAAAAGTTCCAAAATCTACTTATCAGAAATATGGGCGGGGAAAAGATAACACTCTGTACATATATATGAGGGTCAATTATTAATAAACTTCACTACTTATTCCCAATTATTAAATCATGTATTAATTAATTTTTCTTTAAAATTGCGAGAAACATTGAAACATTATTATCCTCTCGTGGTTTAAAATTATTTACACTTATATTACTAGTCTACAAAAAAATACAATTTTTTGTCACACACATATATATATATATATATATATATATATATATATATATATATATGTATGTATGTATGTATGTATGTAATGTACTTAAAAGAAGAGTTTATTTTTCTTTATAAGAATATTATAAAACTTTACGGAAGAAAAAATTAGTTCAAATTTCTGTAGTAAGCAACATGAATCTTTGTTTTAACTTAATATTCTTGATTGAAGCGTTAAACCTACTGGAATCCGGAATGCATTTTAAACAAACTTGAACTTGAAACATATTAAGCTTATGATAGATTTGCGAAAATATAAGCTTATGAAATACTTGAAACAAGTAATATTTGTTTCAGTATAATATGTAATTTTCTGTGTATATAGTTAGCCTGTTTATAATTTTAATAGTCTGTTTAATTTGTTATTTTTCTTTTGATATAAGACGGGTGAAACGCGCAACAATATACATTCAATACAGTGCATTTCATTTAATTTGTAAGATTGCTCTTCGAGAGCAGCATAATTCCTCGTAGAGAAAATATTCGTACCAACGACCGAACGCGGTATTCTATATCGATATATTCGTAACTTAATTATCGAAACGCGTTGTTCGTTTGCCCGTAACGAGGGCAACAAGTTTCTCTACACGAAGTTTCCCTAATTAAATTTGAAATTTTCTCGCGACACGCATTTAGTGACGAAGAGACAGAGACAGAGAGAAAGAGAAGGGAGGGAGAGAGAGAGAAAGAGAGAGAGAAGGAGAGGGAGAGCAAGAGAAAGGGAGAGAGAGAGCTCCGCTTGTACACACGACGCAAGTTCTGTGCTATCATTGGGACGTGCAATTTTGTTAGCCTAGATAACTTAAACTCTCATAGTTGTTTTCCGATGGATGGATGGATGGATGGATGGATGGATGGATGGATGGATAGGTATTTGGTGACGATATCGCGACGCGAGCTTCCTCGCCGAGTTATTAACGAGCCTCTAGGCGCCCTTTCGTGATAAAAACAGCTCGCGGTTTCGCAATCGACGCGTCATCGTAATTGACTTAACGATCGAATCATGACGGGCGCGCCCCCCGACACGCGTTTCAGCCGGCGGGTAATAATAGTACAAAGTGGCCTGGTTATTACGAAACGGAAATGCATCCACCGCCGTCGCCGTTGCTGCTGCTGCTGCTGCTACGGCGATGTGGCGCAGTTTTGCTTACATTGCTGTTTAATGCACGCGCTCGGTCCGTCGGCGCGTAAACCGTGCCGCGCTTTTAAAGCGATTGCGTTGAAACGCGGCAAACAAGCGAGCGCGCGCCTAAACGTCCGCATCACGGATCGCAATTTTGCAGTACCAGGCGAGGCTGAGGCTTCCGGACACGCTCTCGCACTCCCAGAAGATACAGTGCGTGGACCATATCATCGAGGTCCTCGACCTCGCGGCCTGCCAAGACACCAGTAAGTACGACGCGTGGCGCCAAGATGCCGATACCGATCACGGCATCTTTAGATTAGGACCTAGATGTTAAGAAGGGGGGGGGGGAGGAGAGGGAAGTCGCGTAATAATGAGGAAAATTTTAGGTAAATCACATTACGAAAAAGTATCTGATTCTTATATAACCGCATAGTGAAAGGATTATTGTTAGGAGAACAACATTTTTACAATAAGTATTATTTATCACAATAAAAAAATACTCGTCATATAATTGTGACAAGTGATATTTATTTATGTCACTTTAAAATTAAGTCAGTTCCTTTTGATTTTTAATCAGAATTTGGCTTTAAAAAAGGTTCTCAGTTGGCCCTGTATTTATGTATGTGTGTATATACGCGGAAAAAAATATGGTGCACATAACCAGAAATATTTAGTTGAATCGCCCTTTGTGTGATGGTAATGTATATGGTTGATATGACTTTGTTACTTTGATATGTCAGCTATATCAATGTAGTTGCGCGTGATCTGTTTGTGACAATCAGAGATCGGTTAAGGTGATGTTTACCATGAATACACTCTGATTGGAGCAACTATATATCATCACTGCTGCAACTCAACGCTAGTAACTCAGGAATTATTTTATGGTGACAGCAACCACAAAATTAGTTATTTTGTATTTTATTAAATGAATATGAGTTTTAATCTGGTTGGCACCAATTAGACTTCTATGTGTAAGCCAATTATATTGTTTTTACTATGTATGTATGTGTATGCGAAGGTTATTCAATTTTCTGAAAAATGTTCTATTTTAATAATTTTAAATTCATCCTTAAAGAAATTAACATTGCGAATTGTATGTACAGCTATAATATTTTTTTCGATATTGTGACATATAATTAATGAATACAATAATAATGCTTTTGATATAATATTTATTAAAATATTAACTCTTGTGTTGAAAAAAGATATCAAACAAACTTTATAGACGTTCCGCCCCTTCTAACCGTGTTTGTTTCGGGTATACTTTAACTATGTTCATGGTCTAAATAGACCCAATGGTGAGAACTCACTATTTAATTGACACACAGAAAGGACAATTTATTGATTCAAATAAATGTTTCTTTGGAATAGTCCAAACGAATTACTTGGTTGACACAACAAAAATATTTCTTTGGAACTAAGCCGCAAATAAACATTTTTGTCGCTTCAAACAAAATTTTGTTTGATCAATCGAAAAATTCGTTTGGACTATTCCAAAGAAGCATTTATTTGATTCAACCAAATCGTTCTCTCTGTGCATGTATATATTTTTTATATCTTTTATTTTAGCATTATATAAAGTAATTTAGTACAATATGTACTGACTTTTTCCAAAATGACTCGAAAAGTCGCGAAGTATCACATTTGTATTTAGAATATTACAAAAACTGTGTGAACTTTGAAACTGCTCTGGATAAAAAAAAAACCCAGAGCACGGTTAGAAGGTTAAGACGCGTTTTCAGTTCTCGTGATTTCAAAAACTAAAGATATCAGTCAATTCACGTCTCTCTCCGCGGGGTCAGCAAGATTTTTGCTTTACGAGTTCTTCTTCGCTCCATCGCTTCTCGTCATCATACATCGCGCCTAGCTCGATTATAAAGACGAAACCGAGTTTAGCTTTGGCGGAAGCGCGGTGACATTTTCCTGAATACAAATGAGGGAAAGTACGGACACGTATCTCCGCGAAGTGTCGGGCTCATTGTCGGTCGTTGATAAACGGTTTCCTCGATCGTTAACCCGGCCGAGCTTCTCGACTCCGACGCGAAAAAGAAAGAAAATAGCAAACGAGGAGGAAGAGGAGGAAGAGAAGGAGGAGAAGGAGGAGGAGGAGTGAGAAGCCGAGCGTCGTGACGTAAAATATTATTCCCCGCAATTACGTTCGTTTCTCTTCCTGTGTGTACCGAGGGCGTGCGAGGCGCGAACGGCGCGACGATGAAGTTAATAATTTACTGCGCGTCGGGGATCGCGGCCGCGCGTCCGCGTCTCATTAGTTCCAGATAGCGTCGGCAGAGGCCGAATCGCGCACGCCAACGCGCTGCCGCCGATCGCCCATGGAGAACTATTATCCGTATTGTTTAGCGCGGATTTTTTCGCCGATACCCGGCGATCGTAATTCCGTTATCTTCAACCGTACGCTTGCGCGCGCGAGACGTGGGTTTTCGCGAAGCCTAATAAGACGCCTTCGATTCTTTATTGTTCGCGATTGGTCGTATCTTTCGGATTTTTCAAAGCGCCCCTCTTTTCCCTCTCAACGATGAAAAGCGCGCGATATGATGCGATAATCTCGCAACCGACCGTCCGTAATTTTCGATATCCGAACGGAATAAGATCTCTCCATCTTGTCGTGCGCGTTTCGCACGCCTGCGCACTTTCGGCAAGTTCTTCCTCCACAAGCTAATACAATATATAAAATATAAATATATATAATATAAATATAATATAATCCAAAAAAGATAAATATAATACGAGGGTAATCCAGCAAGTAAAGATTGTTTAGTTTTAAAAAATTAAGGAAACATTTTATTATTCAATTTTATATTTTTTTAAACACACAATACCTTATTCTACTTCTCCACATAATCACCTCCTTCATTTAAGTATTTATCATATCTATTCACGCGAGGTCGATCTTTGTCATGCATATTTGTGCATTCATTTTATTGAACTTTTCACATCACTTTTTCACATTCCGTTCATTTGTTATTGTAACATCATACATTTGCTTTATTTGTTGATAACAACAGGTCTCATTTTTTAAGCATTCAAGAATCGAATAACACTCCATATTTCACAGTCGGCGAGATTTTGTATAGTAGGATTTATTTTAAACGACGCATAACGTTCACAGAAATGGATGTATTAAGACACGTGACTCTCGAAACATTAAGAAGACAGGTTAGAAAGACGGACTAACCTTAAATCAGGGAGAGGGAAAGACTTGCGTAGCAATTATACGTAAACGATCTCTGCATTCTAGATTATCCTCGTATAATAATACATCTAGTAGCTGACTAATTTGCACAAATTCTATTAAATATTATTTGATAATTTATAATTTTATTATATTAATTTTATTTTTATTATTATTTATCTGTGACAATTTTATTTTTATTTATTATTATTTACCTATTTTATAAAGTTTCAATTCATCTTGATATTTACTAAAATTTGCGTAAGAATATCGAAAGCTGACTTGTTGCTGGACATTTTACCGTAACAGGAATAAATTATAATAAATATAAAGGAAACCAGGATTAGATGGCATATTTTTTAGGATTTCGAAGTTCCAATTTCCCAGATAACTAATTGTTATGATTGACTGTACAAATATAGTAAAAACGAACTCTCTTTCTATGTTTTTATATCTTTTGATATTTAGTAAAATTTGCGCAAGAATGTCGAAAGCTGACTTGTTGCTGGACATTTTACCGTAACAGGAATAAATTATAATAAATATAAGGGAAACCAGGATCAGATGGCATATTTTTTAGGATTTCGAAGTTCCAACTTCCCAGATAACTAATTGTTATGATTGACTGTACAAATATAGTAAAAACGAACTCTCTTTCTATGTTTTTATATCTTTTGATATTTAGTAAAATTTGCGCAAGAATGTCGAAAGCTGACTTGTTGCTGGACATTTTACCGTAACAGGAATAAATTATAATAAATATAAGGGAAACCAGGATCAGATGGCATATTTTTTAGGATTTCCAATTAGTTATCTGGGAAGTTCCAACTTCCCAGATAACTAATTGTTATTATGATTGACTGTACAAATATAGTAAAAACGAACTCTCTTTCTATGTTTTTATATCTCTCTGTAACAATCCTGTAAACTATATATTTTCTTCTATAATAACCAAAATACGAACGTGGCCATTTTACCCTGGTAGCGGGTTAAGTTCGTTAACAACCAATAGAGGTAAGAAGAAGCCACATATAAAATATGATTAGTAGTTTCCGCGAGAGGTCTCCACAGTTATACCGGCCCTTGAACAGTGGTCAACTTTACCTCCTCCGTTTATATTACTTTCAATCATTTTATAGGTGAAAAATTTTATTACTCGAAACACATTGTATCACATACATACACACACTGTCTTATAGAAAACTATATTCTAACTAATAACGTGTCACTTAAGTTTATTTACTCATAATGGAAAATATTAATATGAAATTTGATATATATTGCTCTCTCACAAATACGCACAGCTTAACAATATCTCCTTTGTACAGTTATTGGAGATTACACGAAACGAGGACTTTCCGGTGGTGAGAAGAAGAGGACGAGTATAGCCTGCGAATTACTCACAAATCCGTCGCTAATGCTGCTCGACGTAAGCTCTTTCCACATTTCCCTTTCTCTGTCTTTCTCTCTATCTCTCTCTGTCTTTCTCTTTCTCTTTATCTATCTATCTATCTATCTATCTTTGTCCTCTCCCTTTCTCTTGCCCAATCCGCGTGTGTGTCTCGAATCTTATTGTATTTCAATCGGATATTTCCGTATCGGAAACTCATCCGGAGAAAGTTTGCCAAGATCGATAACACTGCGCCGCGCCTGTGTAATTTGCTAACTTCGCCATCTTTTATCGCAATTTCAGGAACCCACAAGCGGACTCGACTCGCATTCAGCACAGGCATTGATCTCGCGGTTGAAGAAGTACGCCGAGCAGGAGGGCAAGAGCATCGTGGTGACGGTGCATCAGCCTAGTTCCAGGATGTTCCACAGTTTCAGCAAGCTGCTCCTGCTGAGCCGCGGTCAGGTGGCGTATTACGGCCCGACGGCGAATATCGGTAGATTTTTCTGCACGATAGGGCTCACGTTACTGCCGCACTACAACCCCGCAGACTTCATTCGTAAGTACACTCGGCGCTTCTCCAAATTGTATCATACAAGATCATAAAGTGTTCGCTCTTAGAAAAAGAAAGAAACAGGGAAGACGGTTGTCTTCTCCGATACGATTTGCGTTATTTCTGAAACAGAATGGTTTTCATAATGTCATTTTTTATTAAAGTTTTATCATCCGATTTTTATTACTCAGCTTTTATCATCCACAAGTTTTTATTATAATTTTATCATTCAAATGTTGTTACACGAAACAACACGAAAGTCATACGAAATCGTTGACACACTTTGTCACCGATATCCAAAATGACGCGACGCGACAGCGAACACAGATTAGACGTTGACCGCGAATTAGAGCCATAGTTCCCGCGGTCGCACTCCAGTGCTGCACGAGACCGGTCTGTTCGTTTCAGTGGAGCAAATCAAGGGACCAGAGGAGGTTCGAGAGCGCATCGTTGCCGCGGCGAGAGCCGCAAGACAGGGACCTGACTGCCCACCGGAACTTCGTCCGGAGTATAATCCCAGCCAACATCCGCTCTGCGACCATCTCATCCATTATCACGAGCACCACATCAGCCACAACGGTATTATATAGTATGCAGAGCCGCCCCACGATAATACGTATTTATATGTATGCACACCTAGACCTTCCCCCGACTCTAACGGTCGATTCCGTTGCGGTTCCGATGTAGTCGCTTCACCGTCAAAGAACAAGAGAAGAGGAGAAGGGGGAGAAAAAGAGAGAGATCGAGTGTATTTCATGTGTTGTCCGATTCCACGTTGGCCGTGGCAACTTTGCGAATCGCGTGAGACGAACTACCAAAACCGTCTGCTGCGTCTTGCCAGTATTTAAAAATCTTTCATCCGCGATGCCGCCACGTATCAATCCCGAAAGAACTCTCCAGATAGACAGGTGTGCGTAAATCTGGCAGCAACTATGCTAGCCGATTTGTAAAAGTCGCGTCCCTTTTGAATGGTTCATATGGCATTCATATTTGTCACATAGAATGATAAGATAAAAATACAAAAGGAGTTATTGAAATTTACTCAAAACAATATGTCATGTAAAACATAATATGAAAATTTGGGTGTAACTTTTAGTAAAACCTTTTACTGCATCGATATAATAAAAAAATTTACATTTTTGCTGAAAGTAAACTTAATGATTAATTCAGAATAATATATTACTTTATAAGTGTTGTGTTGGGTAACAAATAATTTCGGATTTTTCAACAATATATGGAATATAAGGAATAGCAGAAGATCATATAAATCATGCATTGTTTTATAAAATCTATAAGCATATACAGACATTTTATTTTATCCAAAAGATCCGAAATTATTTATTATACAACCTAATTAAAAAAATGGTAGAGTTTTCATTATCGATTGTCTTGCATTGTGGTAATTATGAAAGTCTATCCGGGTTCACTTTCCCGCGCGATTTTGGAAAAATAACATTCGCAAGGTGCAGATATTCCATCAAAATAATTTGGAGTAATTTAAAGCCATTTTTTGGAAGTGGGATTGTGATAAAGAGCAATAAGCAAATATTTTTCAGAAAAGCGTAATCAATTTTTCTCTTTTTTTCTCTCTCTTTCTCCTTCCCTTCAATCGTGTTGTCGTATCTACTCGCGTGTACTTATCGATTCCTCGATGCGCACAATTATCGAACTCTAACTGGCCATTTCGCCGGCGTTTTTACAGTAAAAGAAGACGAAGGTCGCACACTATGGCTGGACACACAAAGCCATGCCAGCAGCAGCGCGAGTTCTGCCGATGATGACTATTCCTGGCAGTGGCCCACTAGCTTCTGGTCGCAGTTCAAAGTGAGTACAGTAGCCGCGAATGTTTTCAGCAATTAGCGAATACAATACTAGTATTTCGGTCGCTCGAACACTTCTCGCTTCTGCCCGAAGCACCGACACATTAATCCGTTGCTTCTCTGCGCAGCGAGTGGGAGCGAAGAGTGCGCGAAAAACGTGTGCGATTGCACACAGCGTCACATGTGTGCTTTTTGACATTGACGAAGTAATACTAAAAACCATTGATCTTTATGGGATTTAGTGTAACAGAAAATTTTTATATTTAAGGCTCTGCTATCTCATCGCAGAAAGTCTGAATTGACGGTGGCGCCTAGCAGTGTCGAGAACACGAAATAACCGTGTCAGCGTAGCTGATTGGCTAAGACTAGGCCAAACTCACGCTAGACCTCGTTTGATACTTCGGAAAATTGCGTTTTATCGCGTTATTTTGCAGTTTCTCTGTGAAGTGTGTATATTATCGTGATCCTCATAAAATGTGCAGCAAACTCAGTGATACTGGTGATACATTATAAAAATCGAGAAATTAAATGTGTTCATACATGCTGATCTCAGCTGTCACAAATCACCGTGACAGCCGAAAAATGTAGCATTATTTCAGGAATTATTTTACGATGCTACGTGATATATCAGCCAGATATTTGAGTTTGCTGTACTTTTTACAGGTTTCAGAATTAGGAAAATATTTGGTTCTTCAGGAAAAGTAAAAAATAAAGCAATAAAACGCAACTAATTTTGTGTATGTCATCTCGCTTCTAACGTCATCAAACCAATATGACCGTCCTAGAAATAGCAGAGCCTTAATAATCCCCTGTTGATAAATGTTGTGTAAAATCAGCATAAGTGATGACTGCAGAAATGCAGAGTTACAAATATATCTAATATATTTCACTGTAAGTCTATATAGTGTATACATAAGCGATAAAACGTCAAGATAATTGTAAATTATAATAGAGTGCTATATAATAATCTGATAGTGTCTTCACGTTCAAAGTGAGAGACCTCTCTCAAGGATAGATTTTTGCCGTTCATAAAAGACGGACAATGCTAGCTGATATTTGTCTTTGTTTATATGGCGCCATCTGTTGAAATAGGGACTCTTTTGGGCCGATTTTTGAGAATGGTAAGAGACTCAGATGAAAGAATTTTACGTATTTGGAATCGATTTAATGTGAGTTTTAATCGTATGCAAAAAATTGTTATTATCGAGGACCCAAAAATCAGGCAAAACTTGGCTGCTCTCTTTACATCAGGATTCTAAAGAATAAATGAAAATATAACCTTTCTTAATCAATTTTCAAGAAAATCGTACGTTCTTTAAAAGATGTACGTAGATTACTCATTGTTTATATAGAAAAAGATTAACATAAAATGCATTACAATTTCTTTAGAGAATATATACCGCTTTTTAAATATATGATCAACGCATCATTTGAAAGGATCTTTTGCATTTTTTACATAACGTTTTGGAAATTGTGGCTGTACGATTTTATAATATACATTCTTAAGTTTATGATTAAGTATCAGAGGCAATTTCATCATTATCAAAAAGATATTGTATATATACAAGTCTTTTTCATCATTGCATATGAAATAAGTAAAATATGAGATTTTCTTGAATTTAAAACTCCTCTTAAGAGGAAATATAGCAACTATTAATACGTGCGCATCTGATCTTATTTCAATAATCAACTATTGAAGAGCGCGAAACAACTTTCAACATATTCTCAGCTGATCTTTCCTTATCTGATCTCTCCTCAAGATCTCATCTTGAAATGAGTTTCAAGATAGAACTATTACATATATATTAAAACATATACAGGGTGTTTATAACGGCTCGCACAATTTTTTAGACATTTTCTGACTATTTAAGACAAACGTTGCAAGATGAATTTTCAACTGCTTCGTACAGGCTACAACTTGCAATAATGAAAGATAAAAAAGTTTTTTTCATAAAAAAGCAAGGTCACCTTGAATTTTTTAAATGGCATCACGCATCTTTTTCACATAATATTGTAGAAGATTTTCAGATGAATTCAACGCATTATCACAATATTAATGTCACTTATATATACTAAATATAAATGTCACTTTTATTAACAACAATAATAAAACAATAGAAAAACTCTAACTTATGAAAACATGTTCAAATTGTTTGCCTCTTTCTGCAACACAAAATTCTGCTCTTTTTAACAAATTACTGTACGCAGTAGCTATTATATTACTTGAACTTAAATTTGCACAATCTATAATTATCTTTTCTCGAAAATCTTGGACATTATTAATTGGTATTTGATACACAAGAGCTTTCAGATATCTCTATAAGAAAAAACCCACCGAAGATAACTCTTGCTTATAAATACTGCTACTTAAAATAATGCTGCACATTTGATATTAAATATTAACAAAACTGACATTTGTGATAGTTGAATTTATCTTAAAGTCCTCTACAGTATTATGTAAAAAAAGTGTATGGTGCCATTTAAAAAATTCAAGGTGACCTTAATTTCTTTATAAAAAAGATATTTCTTTTGCCTTTTGTAAGTTGTAGCCTGCACGAAGCAGTTGAAAATTTACCTCGCAACTTTTTCTTTAAACCATCGGGAATATTTAGAAAATCGTGCGTACCATTACGCTGAACACCCTGTGTATTATATGTCAGGAACTGCTTGAGCTATGACTTTCAGCAGTAAAACGACTATTAATACGGGCCCCGAGTTTGTCGCGCAACCGATTATCAATCGATTATTCATCGCGGACGCGGCTAAGAAGATGCAAGTGGATTAATGTTCGTCGAATCGATTATTCCCACTTAGAAGGACGACGATTGCGGCCGATCGACTGCGCGGCGTCTCGTAGATGGCGCGGCGCGCGAAGGCGACCGAAAGAAAACACGAGCGTGGATATGAACGCGCCGCGAGAAAGAAGCGCGGTCGGCCGCGCACAGACAGTAGAACTGGGTCGCGTTTGTCGCGATTCACCATATCCGGATAATTACGTGCGACCGGTATGCGACCGTTCGTAATCGCCATGTCGCGCTTTGTACGAGTGCCGCGTCGCTTGCGTCACTTTTACCTACTGGAACCGCGCACGTTCTTCGCACGGCTCACGGTAACATCGGGCAGTTCCGTCGAAACCTCGCAAGTTCGGTCACGTTTGAGTTTGGACGTGATACCGCAGACTTCCACAGAGGAGACCGTAGCTAGATGCCCCATATTTTAGAATTTTGAAGTTACAATTTCTCAGACGACTAATTGTTGTGACTGACTGTACAAACATGATAGAGGCAGTTTGCGTTTATATGTTAATGCCCGCCACGATTCTGTTAATCATACAGAGTGAAAGATTTTAAAAGATCCACCCTCATAATTCTTCAGCCAAGTATATTCAGTAAAAATTCAAAAGTTGTCGGATTCAGAGGGGGACATCTGAAAGGACCTTGACTTTGACCTTGGAGGTCATTCTGAAGATTATTCGAAAGTCAACTTTGCTTTTTAAATAGAAACATTTATTTTTTCTTACGGAATTTTATTCTAAGTAAAGAAACTAACAACTTTTGTTTGAAAAAAAATTTTTATATGACCTCCATTTTCTAAGATATTTACGGAAATATTTACAAAATTATTGGTTTCCATAATTTTTTATTCAAATTCTATTAACTTTACCGAAAAATGGTAAGAGATAAAAATTGTTTATTTTCTTCTCATAGAGCTCCGAGAATTTTTTCAGAATTTTTTATAAACTTTTTAGTACTTCAAGAAAATGCAAGAAAATACAGTACTAAAAAGTTAACTAAAACATTTTGAAAAAATTCTCAGAGCTCTACGAGAAGAAAATAGATAATTTTTATCTCTTGCTATTTTTCTAAAGTTGATAGAATTCGAGTAAAAAATTATTAAATCCAATAATTTTGTAGATATTTCCGTAAATACCTTAGAAAATAGAAGTCGTATAAAAATTGTTTTCAAACAAAAGTTAGTTTTTTTACGTAGAATAAAATTCCATAAGAAAAAAATTAATGTTTCTATTTAAGAAGCAAAGTTGACTTTCGAATAACCTTCAGAATGACCTCCAAGGTCAAAGTCAAAGTCACCCTTCAGATGTCTCCCTTTGAATCCGACAACTTTTGAAATATTTTTGCTGAATATACTTGGCTGAAAAATTATGAGGGTGGATCTTTTAAAATGGGACACTCTGTATATTTTGTTTTGTAATAACCAAAATGTAGATATGCAACAACGTGATCATCTTGTACTTAATACCAGGTTCAGTAACCCAATATGGCATAGGAGATAAAGAAAGCCATATAAAACAAATATCCTCATTAGTAGTTACAGAATCTACGCAAGAAGTCTCCACAGTCCTCCTATTGGCCATTACGGACCAACTCTACCTCGTCCGCTCATGCTCAATTTTAATCATTTTATGAATGAAAATTGCTTTCTTTATCCGAGATATATCATACACTTGTAAGATACTTCATTTTAGCTAATAACCCGCCGGTTAACTTTATTCATTTAAAGTGGAAAATATTAATACAAAATTTCGAGAGGCTCGGAAATTTATTTTGCTATTACTAAATCAGTTTTTTTTCTATTTTTTAATTGTAATATTATCCCGATTTTAATGAAACACAGGAAAAAGTATCTATGTTCTAAAACGTCAAATTTGAAAATTTTTATTCGTATTTTCCATTAAATAAATAAACTTTTGTAATGTGTTTTTTTTATAAGTTAGAATGAAGTCTTCTTTTGTTGAAGTTGTATAGTATTTTTTATTATCGTGCGTAATAAAAGTTATTTTTATTACAAATACAAGTTCATTACAGTATAAATAAACGGATAGGATGTAAATTAGGCTAGCATTATATAAGATCATATATATCAACTCGTTATAAGTTGATTTGTGATAAATATATGTAGTTCATCAGAATATTTAGTAGGTTATATCCAACATGAAAACTACACATACACACACACATAGAAGAAAATCGTTTGTAATACTTTTACACAATCAAACGCGACAATTAGTTGTGAGAAAAGAGATAGCAAAATTCTGAAAAGTTTGCAAATATGCTCTGTTCTCCCCTATGTAATCATCGAACAGATGGAGACACGAGAATATCAATTCCGTGTCCTTTGTTTATCTTAATCAAACAAATATGTAAGAACGAAAATATCCTTCCACGCGCGCGCGTAATACTCAAGATAAGATATTGTGAACGCGTACCACAGGTTATGTTTATTCAAAAAGACCTTCGATGCTGACGTTGCGAAACTTTGCATTTTATTTTCTCACGGACGTCGATGTCGTCCAGGTGTTTTGTTTCTATGTGTCAAGCTATCTCGCATATAACCAATGATTTAAAGAAAATCTTTATATCAAAAATTCTTTTTTAGTACTCGTCAAAAAGACGTCAAATAAGCTATTCAGAACTATTTGGTTGTGATGTTGGATGTGAAGTTAGCGTTTCATTTGTTAATTAGTATTTTAGTAGTGTTTAGGAGATGCCAAAGTGGATGACAAACTCCAAAAATGTCGATAACATAAAGTATATTGTCAAAATGTTATATCAGATAAACACCAACACAATTACACTTTACCCTTTTCGTATTTCTTATAACAGATATAGATCTTATATAAATGTGGTGCTTTGTTTAACCATATTTAATGCAAAACTTAACCACGCATATAGAGGATGTCTGACACAACTCGCAAGTCCACTAGTGTGTAGTTAGAACTCATAACATTGAATACAAAAGTCTTCTATTATTTTGTAAACAACCACGTAAAATGTTGAGTTATTGATTAAAAAAATTTAGTGAACGATCTTGTGCGATACAGTGTTAAGTATGACGGTAAAGACGATATTATGTGTGTACTTATTTGACTTTAGATCAAATTAAACAAAAGGGTCCTCTAAAATTTTGTAAATAATTATGTAGATTTTTAATTAGTAATTAAAGAAAATCCTTGAACGTGCGCGGGTCGCGTGTAATTGTCCACTAATTTTCTTAAATTAATAACTCGAAAATCTACGTGGTTGTTTGCAAAATAGTAGAAGATTTTTTGTTCAGTTTGTTCTAATGTGCAAGCATAATGGAAATCGTACTTACCGTGACACGCTGCGCTGCATCGCGCGTGATTATTCGCCAAATTTAACCCTTTAAGGCGCATAATTCATGGAACATTCTAGTAACATTTTTTTTTTAATGAAATATTGTTAAAAACACTCTAAATAGCACATTTATAAGATTTCAACCCGATCCTAAGTGGTCCCTATTTGTACCAGTGATACTTAAAGAGTTAAGTGATAACTAAAAATTTTACGCAGTTGTTTACCAAAAAGAAATATTTGTAAACAGGGAATTCTTTTAAGCGTTTCCTCTAAGTAAAAAGTCTTATATGAAATGTACTCCTCTTTAACACGTCATTATTTATCTATAAAAAAGAGGACGCGTAGACTATAATTCAGAGCATATTCCTCAATAAGAAATTATGTAATAGGAATCCGAATATCCGAATATTAAAAGAAGAGGATATGCAAAATATTAGCGGCACGCACTTATTGAAAGGATATACGATGCTGTTTGGAGATATACATTTATTTGCTCGTTGTTGTTTCCTGCGTCCATGACGCGGACGAGGTAGTAACGCAGCGGATCGTGAGAAAGAAGTTGAGAAGCTTTTTTGTAGTTACTGCACGATTTTGAGAAAATTCTACACAGTGCAGTGAATTCACCATTATATACCATAAAGTAAAACATTTTGTGAAAGAAACATGGTAGCTCAGTGGTTAGAACAGTTGCCCACCAAGCGAAAAAGTTCTGGGTTTCGAGTCTTGGTCTTAACAAATCGCGCTTTCAATATTTTCCTTTTTCTGGAACGAAAGAAAACGTAGCTCCCAAACGTGAATCCTTTGAATGACAATCATTAGCGTTCGGGTCATTCTAAAGACGCATTCACACAGGCAGAAAAGCAGAAACAAATCAGAACTCGCGCTGATAAAAAAGCAGAAATTAGTCGACTACTATTTAACCAACAGCACGTTCTGATTGGCTTCTGCTTTGCTGTTTTCTGCTTTTCTTTCAAAGTGTGAATGCACACTAAGAAGTGCTCTTTTCTCAGAGCATTTTTGTTTAAAAGTTCTTAGAAACAAAATATTTAGTAATTTATTCTTTTCATAAAAAGCTATGTAGTAAAAGAAGTTTTAATTTTTGGGGATTTTTTCAAACACCCTAATGAGAGAAAAATATCCAAGAAGAAAGACACTAATAGCGCTCTAGTTGCCGCTCCGAAGGTACCGAAAATACGTTGTCACTCAGAAAGTTCCGAGTATAGTATCTCCTTAATTGGCAAAGCTCTTTTTGCTGAACGTAAAAGTACTCTTATACGTTCCAAAAGGAAGCTGAAACTCCACTCAGTACCGTCGAATTCTAAAGTCGGTGTGTTGACTTCACATATCCTTTCGATGAGGTTCTCCATCGTCGTGAAGCTTACGAGCTTATGAGCAATCGAAGATATTGTATTATATGGAGAATGTTGTCCTGCGATGTTTCAGGTATTAACGGAGAGGAACTTTCAAGAGGCGCGGCCGCGAATGTTGTCGCGTTTGAACTGGTTGCAAACGATAGCGCTAGGACTGCTGGCCGGGCTTTTATGGCTGAGGCTTCCCCGAACAGAAGCGGCCCTCCACGACATCCAAGGCTGGATGTTCTTCAGCACCACGTACTGGATGCTCTTCGCGCACTTCGGTGCACTCTCTAGCTGTGAGTCGAATCGCATTTTCACTCGCGCGTTTTCTCGCAAAACCGAAATTCCGACACGGCGTAGGAAACTCCCATCGCAGGCGAGATGCAGACTGATTATCCGGACAATGACTCATACCGACAATACCGTAAATGGCGCGGGAATAACCGATGCAACGTCAGATTAAATTAAATCCCGAGATGCATTTTCAATGGTGGAGCCCGCGACGGAAAATGTAATCATGCGAATTTGGAAAAGTAATTGCGTGGAAAAGCTCGCTTTCCCGAATGATTTACGGAAATGGAAATAAGCAAACAATTTCGCGGATATCGCGCGAGTATGTGGAAATGCATGAAGCTGATTGCCCGTATAAGATTTTAGGATTATATTGGTGGTGAGCCATTACTAGATGTCTGATTATCGATATCGGCCCGATATTGGCAGCCAATAATTGGTTGAAAGAGATCATTAGATTACAGTGATAACTCAAGCACAATATCGGTGAGCAACCGTTGGTTATAAATTCGCAAGCGCACATCAATCTAGTGTGATTTTCTCGCATAATGCTCGCCGTTGGTCGTATAATTTTAATAATAATAAAGGGTACGCTCGATGAAATAATTATACTAACCCAAATTTCGAGAAATCGCGTGCGTATTATTTGGAAAAAGTAATAAATTACGAGATTTCTGTGCAAAATTTTTCAAGATACGTGACGTGAAACTTCGTAATTTTCCATTTCCACGCAACGATACATCACGTGTAGAGTAAACGAACCTATTTCGGAACAGCACCTGATATTATTTGACAGCTAATACAGGAAAAAAATTAAAGTGTTTCGAAATAGGTGCTGTTCCGAAATAGGTTCGCTTACTCTATAATAAACGTTTCATAAATCTGTATCAACTTATATAAATCTGTATCAAATTCTTACTTGAGACTTTCACGTCAGATGTTCAGATATGTGTTTTAGTTGAATTATAAATATGATGTCACGTATATCACGTATGATCCAAATGAAAAGTCAAATCTAATTCTAAATTCAGATCTGGGATTTCACAGGAAATAAGCCTCAAATAACAGTTATTAATACAGACTGTAGATTCGTATTAAGGGGATGTCAAAGTGGATGACAGACTCGAGAAATATCGATAACGTAAAGGTGTCGTTAACACAGTCATGTTATCTTTCTTGTATATTTCTTGTACATAGACTTTATTTCGGAATATTTTATTTTAAGATATAAATATGTGCTGCGCGCTTTGTTTTACTATGCCAGCAGAAAACATAACCACGCATATATAGAAATCTTTGTGCCTTTTCGTATACTTCTGAACTTCTACATTCAATTGTAAAGATAGAAAATGTTAACATACAGAAATATTCTTTAAAATTTCGTTAACGAAGCAAACATACACGCATGCTTCGTACAAGCTGCAGAACTTTCAAGTATCAAGTAAATGTATATGTTAAGGTAAAAGTACCAATGCCCGGACATGTACCTAATCGTGGGCACTTTCTTTGTTTAGAACCGATTGTTCCAATTTCTTGGTAAGCTACTTAACAGTTAAATCATGTGTTCTGCCTTTGTTTTTCTTTAAATTAGACAAAGATAAATGTATAATAATTATAACATGATATTAATATTATAATATGACATTAATATTTAACTATTAGGTAGCTTACCAAGAAGTAGGAGGAAAAAAATCGATCCTTATAAATACAAATATTTGAACTTTCAATATATGTACAAATATTGAGTACGTAAATACATTCTATATTGCAAGTTTAAATATTCGTATTTAAAGATCAAAACACAATAAGAATGCCCAGGATTAGGGCATTGATACTTTACCTTAATTGACAGCTCCAGATGTCAAATTAAAAATTTTTTATTGTTTTCGTCAAATATTGAGCAATGCTTCATTTCATTATTGCACGTAATTTGCTTTCATTGCGTAAAAGCACTTGTAATTCTGTGCAACCAATGTGACGTAAACTTTGCAGAAAGAAGTCAGTATTTCGTTGGTAAAATTTTTTAAATATGGCGTCCCTTTAACAGTCGTTAATTGAAACTCCTCTCAAGTAAGAAATTCAGATTTGAATTTAAAGTTTGAGTTTTCCTGTTAAATCGTGTTTACAAATGCAATGCAACATATATGACAGAAACATTTCTGTCAACTTTGATTGTATTATTTAAATAAATTTATTTATTGGACTTGTGCTTATTTGTTATATTTATAATTATTAAATTAATTATTACTAATTGTTATTACGCAGACTGAAGAAAATACATTATTTTCACAATAATTTATCTTTTCGTTAAAATTTATTGAAAAGGACCAACAATTGGCTGAAACATTTTCCGGATTTCGATTATATTATTTAAATAAATTGAATTTATCTCCCATATTTATTTTTGGTTTTTGTTGGCCATTATTTATTGACTCCTACTTATTTGATATAATTTATAGAATTTAAATATAAAAGAAGAAAAGTCAAATCCAGATTTAAATCCAGATCTAAATCCAGATCTAATGATCTTACGTGAAAAATTTCAAATAATGATTATTTATAAATGATAATTGAATAAAGAGAGGGGGAGGAAGATATATGTCACAACAAGAGTTTACTCGATGAATGTAGACGCGAGTCGTGCGAAATGCCGAGAAAATCGGCATTCGTTTCACGTTCATAGGTCGATTTATCGCGGAGATACAGACGTCTTAAGAATTTGAAGTTTCCTAAAGGTCCGTCTACAATGGAATTAGTAGTAGGCAATAAAAAGTAAGCAATTGATCAGAATTATTACAACTATTACATTATTATAAGAATAATTACAAGAATAATCGACCATAGTTATTCAATTTGCTTACTACTTTACGTCTTATTGCTTACTGCCAAACCCATTGTAGATGAACTTCAAACGGCCGTCTATAATATGCGAGGTAAGCTTGGCGTAAGTTGGAATAAGAAATAAAAATAATTTATTTTACATATATATGTACTTATACTCTAATTCCCTTACACCGGAAGTATTTTTTTACTGAAGGGAATGCTGGAATCGATGACGAACTCGAAAAATAACACAGAGATGATTACTAATACAATCACGTTATCCTTAATTTATAGAAGCTTCTTCTATTACACACGGCTATCGATACTTTAATCGTCTCGGGTAAGACTCACTTAGCCCTAGTTCTCAAACTTCTCAAATTTGACAAGGAAAGCTATTATTCTGATTTCAAGAATCCGTTCGTATCATGTCAGAACTGAGACACCTTCGAATGACACCTCTAATGGATAAAAATATTATTAATGATAACATTTGTGACTGCTTGTGACGGCTTATTTATTCAAATATTGAACCGCTTACATTTTAATTGCCCGCTCCAAAAGGACACTTCTGATTGGCTGATATTACGACTGTGTCGCGCAGGCGTCGACCCTGCTTCCACCATTGTCGACATTGCTTTTAGCAACAACTTTACTACCTACGTGTTATTGAAATCTTTTCTAAGGAGGGAGAATCTTTGGACCTAAATTTTGGATCTAAATTTCTCATTATTTTATATTAATTTCTCATTAGAGGAACACATGCTGCAGTTTCATAAATATTGAGAAGAAAAAGAAGAAGAATTACGCTGTTTTTCGTATTTCTTATACATACAGAACTTACTAAACGTGTGTTGCTTTATTTTACCATTCAGCGAAAAACCTAACCATTCATGTATAGAAATCTTTCTACAAACTTTTCCAATATGAATTTTGATGCGAAGATAAAGCAATGTTCTTTAAAATTTTTCTGTTTGAAGCATTCATACTGTCAGTATGTACAAGCTTTCGGAACTTTTGGATCAAGCAAATATTACGCTAACTAGCAACCTGAGACTTTACAAATTTTTTTTTCGTTTTTATCAAATATTGAGCAATGCTCCTATTTATTTTTGCACGTACTTTTATTGCGCGCGCGCGTAACAGTATTTATAATTTTATACAACCGATACGACATAAGCCTTAAGAAATCAGTATTCTGTCGGTAAAGTTTTCAGCTTCAACATCCCCTTAAGAGAAGTACTTCCGGTGTGAGGGAGTTAGTGTATAGGCGCAAGCGAAATAAATTATTTTTATTTCTCACTTCAACTTCTTGCGCCAACTGCTTACTCCACATATTGTAGATAGCCATTAAGACGGCGTGCAGTCTTCTGCCCGCGACCGGTGGTGTGCGCGCAGCACATTGTAGTGCATTCACACCTCGGACTTGACACTTCTCCCTCTTACGGCGGCGCGCTTGGCTACAGAGAAGCGAGCAGTGTGCAACATTGTTGCCGGGCCTCTGCTCCTCTTTGAGAATCGCCGCTCGTCCATATCTCCGCGTAAAATGGGCATATAGACGTGGGACAAATTGCGTTCGAAAACTAAAACCGATACCGATAAGGACAGGACTGTTCTTTTTAGCTGCACTGCTGGATTGGTGCAATAAGATAGAGTGAGGCAAAATATAATTGTCCCACTTTAAAGCTTGTTATTTGCTTCCTGTTTCTTTTTCTTTATCTCTTACAGACTCAAGCCTTAAGCCTAATCTACAATGTGCTCTTTGCTTCCTGTTTCTTTTTCTTTATCTCTTACAGACTCAAGCCTTAAGCCTAATCTACAATGTGCTCTTTGCTTCCTGTTTCTTGTTCTCTGTCTTTTTTTAGTTTGAGTCTGATCTATAATATGCTCTTTGCTTCCTGCTTCTTTCTCTTTATCTGACTCAAACCTTAAGCTTTAAGCCAGAAAAAGATAGAAGACAAGAAAGAAAGACAAGAAGGCAAGAAACATAGAATTTCTTCTATCTTTTTCTGGCTTAAAGCTTAAGGTTTGAATCAGAAAGAGATAAAGAGAAAGAAGCAGGAAGCAAAGAGCATATTGTAGATCAAGCTTAAAGCTTGATTTATAATGTGTTATTTGCCTCCTGTTTCTTTCTTTTTATCTCTTTCTGACTCAAACTTTAAACTTTAAGCCAGAAAAAGACAGAAGACAAGAAACAGAACGCATTTGATCAGGCTTAAGGTGTGAGTCAGAAAGAGATAAAAAAAGAGAAACAAGAAGCAAATAACACATTGTAGATCAAACTTTAAACTAAAAAAAAAAGACAGAACAAGAAACAGGAAGCAAAGAGCACATTGTAGATTAGGCTTAACTCTTATTGCACTAGTTTAGCAGTGCAGTTAAAAAGAATCGACCAAATCTCTCAGTATTATTGAGTAATTTCGCAGTAGATATATATGTCGAAAAGATCGATCGATTTTCTATCGAATTGAAGGCAAATCACCGACTGAGAACGCGATTTCGCTTTTCGCGGCGGAACGTTTATTAGCTTAACGACCCGGCGCGAAGCTGGTCGATGATGGTGCTAAAAGTGCGAGGAACACGAAACTACCGTGAGCTACTGCGACGAGGATGTAAAACCCATTTTAGCATCACCTCCGGCTCGCCGTAAAGCGCGTCGCATCGCGTCGCGTCGCGTCGCGTCGACGAAAGGGACGAGAGACGGGGAGATTGAGAGAAGGAGAGTGGGGATAATTCTGAAAATAACACGCGACGACGCGTTTTTCCAGTTCCCCCGGAGCGCGAGGTGATCAACAAGGAGCGCCTGTCAGGATCCTATCGGCTCTCGGCCTACTACCTGGCGAAGATGGTCGGCGAGCTGCCGCTGACGGTAACGCTGCCCGCGGTCTACCATATCATTAGTTACCCGATGTTAGGCTTCCACAGTCCGGCGGTCTTCGTCACGCTGCTCTTGTTCTTACTGCTCAACACCGTGGTCGCGCAGGTACGTGTGTTTCCGCTCCATTACGACTCGCGCTAAATCTCACGGTTATCGCGTATACGGATAGAGCACGCCGCGCAAAAGCGGGAGGGTGAGTCTGACCGATGTACGCACCGGAGAGAAACTGTCGGGTAAAAAGAACAAGTCTCACGCATAAAGAAATGACTGAGTAGTACACTGAGAGAAAAATGTATGATATTTGGAACTATAATGGCATAGTGAAAAGATTATAGTTAGGAATTTAATACATAAATAAATAAATGTGGTAAAAAGTAACACGCATAATATGTAAAAAATTAACATAAGAATTTAACACTTGAATACCGTCAGGAATCACAGTTTGTGTTAAACTGACATATATATAATCTTAAATCAACTAAAATAAAACGTTACTTTAACACTTGAGAGAAGTATTAATCTACGATTTGGATGAAATGAAAATGTTAAATTGACAATCTATAATTGATTATATTAATATAATTGACAATCATATTAAATATATCAATTTAACACAACCTGTGATTCCTAACGGTATTCAAGTTAAATTCAGGTTAAATTCTTTTCTTTTTTATAGTAAATGTCACCATAATGTTTGTAATATTTACAATATAAGCATAGTATAACTGACTCATGTAAAACTTTTACCAAGAATTATAATTATTTGAAATAAAAAACATAGTAAGGTAGCAAATATTAAATAGTAAGAGAAATTAACTATTTTATATAGTCAATAAAATTGGAATATTTGGAAAATATGGGTACATGTAACTATATTCCCAAAGCGTGCTTTACTATACACATAGAGTAATAAGATGGTGACTATAAATGTGTGTTCATTCTGCTATATTTTCGTGTTTAGATAAACTATAAATATATGTTTGAGGTCAAAACAAACTATAAAATATAGTGAGATTATAGTTATTCCAACTATTTTTTTCTCTCAGTATAATATCAGCTGATTCTCAGTAGCCGATTCGGGCTTAGCTAAAAGCAGTGCTGTGCTTAGATGATTTTAAGATCATCTACACTGTAAAAATTGATGTGTTAAATTTAACACATTTCATGTCCTAAATCACCCACTCTCATTTATGTGTAAATTTAACACAAAACAAATGTGTTAAAAAGTAACATACGTAATATGGAAAAAATTAATACAAGAATTTAATACTCGAACCGTTAGGAATCACAGGTTGTGTTAAATTGACATATTTAATATGTCAGACATAGATTGTCAATTTAACATTTTCATTTCATCAAAACCGTAGATTAATACTTCTCTCAAGTATTAAAGTAACATTATTCTAGTTGATTTAACATTATATATATGTCAGTTTAACACAAACTGTGATTCCTGACGGTATTCAAGTGTTAAATTCTTATGTTAATTTTTTACATATTATGCGTGTAACTTTTTACCACATTTATTTATTTATGTGTTAAATTTACAAATGAGAGTGGATGATTTGGGAAATATTAAATTTAACACATCAGTTTTTACAGTGTAGATGCGGATGAGATGAAAATCCGTAAATCCATCTTAGAAGAGATGAAGATGGTTTTGCTTTTAAAGCATCCAGACGAAAGATAAGATGGTTATACCATTCATCTAGATTGTTTTTCAGATTCTTTTAGATAATTTACATAAATATGTAAAAAAATTGCACATATGATAAAAGAAATATATAAACAGTACTTATACTTTTATTTTTAAGTTTTTATTTTTCAAAAATAAGAGCTTTTCAAAAGTTTCGTCTCATACTTTTTACGGGATATAAACATTTGTTGTTCTGTACTAAAAGATGTTCCACTGGTGCCAATGAAGGTGGTAATATATTATATTTGAAAAAGATTTATTTGGTTGCTTTCCAACAAGAGACACAAGTATCATCCTATCTTTGTTACTCACTAAATGTGGAACAAAGATAGAATGATGTTTGTGTCGACTTGTGTCTCTTGTTGGAAAGCAACCTTTGTACATTAGGGAAATATGTTAGAGAATACAACTTCTCCGATTTCGACTCTAAATAGGATAGTATGTCGATATTATTGCTGATAATTGGCTGTGCACTAACATTATTTTTTTCATAATCGTGAAAGAAATCTTCATCTCCGCTACTCTTAGAAATAGACTTGCTCTTAAATGCAATCATATGTTTGGCGTATAAATTATTAATTTTTTTAAGAAATCTTTACATAAAATGCCACTAAAAATTCTAAGTACCAAATTCTATTATTGGATATTGTATCAAAAACATCTTAAATCTTCTTTTAAAATGGCACAGTTTTTTTATCTAAGATGAAGATGTTATATGTCTTTACCATTTAAATGTTTCGATTTCTCCATCTAAATGACCATCTAGATGCTTTCATTTAGATACTGGCAAACATTCGCAAAAAGCGTTTTGCTGTTATTGTTAAAAGTTGGCTATCACAGGCGAAATGTATTCGCCGTGAGATACAAAGAGTGCCGCCCAAAAAATTTCTAATTTTTACAAAAACATTTTAGGCTGAGATACATAAAATTAAACTTAATTTTCATAGATTTAAAAAATGTGTATATCATAGTATTAACTTGCATACTCTTTAGGAAAATTGAAGCGAATTGTTCTAAATCCACCGTTGCCAATGCATAGAAAAGTCCTTCGTTCGAATTCGTAGCAGCTGCACGATTATTCGATGAACACAACACGATGTTCCATTTTAGAACACGAACGTTTTGCTGCTGCTTTTAAGAATTTACATTTCTCGACGAGCTTTTGGTAACCGAGCAAATTGTTTTCTTATCGTCTTTAGTTGTCAATTATGCGCTATGAACTTTTTTTATAGTCTTCAGTCAGTACAGCACTCGATCCTTTTGTAGAAGTACCATTTTTTTACTAGTAACAGTTTCCGGCTACAATATTGACACTTGGAGTCTCCATAATATTTCCAAAATTACAAATTGTAACATATAAGTTCTTTGACCAATAATGATCTGCTTTTAAAGAGCTTTCTTTTGATATGTCTCCCGATGAGATCTATTTTTGTGAGAAACAGACTACTTAAATAAAATAAAATAAAATAGACTATTGATAAAAATAGGCTACTTTGGGCGGTGCTCTTTATTGGCTGGAATTAAAAACGCACATTTGTTCGAGTAGCAAAGAAAATGACAGCAACTATTTCTATATATCTTAATCATACATGAATCTCGAGCATCCAACTCTGTAAGAAATTAGTCTTACAGAACTCGTGCTACCGCTTGTCGCGCACGAGCATTAATAGTCGTTAATTGTCAAACACCTTACGTGAGATGCAAGATGTTACTGTTAACCTGAGTAGAAATAAAACAGATTTTAGTTATAGTTTTAATCAAATCAACAAGAAAATGGCGACAAGATATAATTTTTATCTAAATTGTTTACGTTTTGTGGTATCAAATTATGTTGTTGGGAACTTATATAATTGCGCGTTATAACATATATAAAAATATATGACAGATCTGTCAATTGGAGAGGTAGCGTTGTGAGACAATCATAATTTAGAATATCAAGTTCGAATTCCACTCGAGTGAAAGCGAGTTCTTCAAATATAATGTAATATCGAATCAGTTCAGTAATTTATTTTAGACGAAATAACCATGCACTGCACACATTAAGAAAATATTTTTCAGTTAAAAAAATAATAAAATTTCTAGTTATAGGAATATAAATATAAATTTTAAATTATTAAGAAATTCCCTAGTATAAATCTATGCTGTTTTACTAGACACTTAATCAGTTACTGTCTAGTATTATTGCATTTCATAGTTGTATTGAAACTGCGCAAAAACTGGAAAGAAACTAAACATAGTTTTATTAAGGTTTATATTGCATACATATAGTGCATGATAAAAATTATATTGTATAGAGACGATCTTAAAACTATATAAAGAATAAGTGAACGCGTAGCAAAACATAGAGCAAGGAAGAGGAAGTTGGAGGAAATTTAACAAAATAACACGTTATGGCAGAAGTGACAAGCAAGGTTAGAGTTGAAAGTGACAAAACGAGCATGGGCTGTATATTAATGATATAGAATTGCATTGCGACAAGAACACATTAGACTATCTTAGAAACGCACCTTAGATTTCCTGTACAATTGTGGAATAGAAAGTCCGACTTTTTGTTGGGAACGTAACCTAAAAATTATCCAATGAGGGAATAGTATCTAAGAAATACGTTTCTTATATTTAACTATTCGGTTATATTCTGAAACTTATTACAAAAAATCAGACATTCTTTATATCTACGACTGTACTGACTTTTATTAAAAATTAAAATTGTACAATAAGCAAGTATGCACACAATATACATTATTACTAGCACAAAACTGCCCATTTTATGAGCAATAAACTTGCTTATTAATCGATTGAATAGTTTCTTTGTCCAATTATTGCTCAGTTCTCGGTCAATAAATGAGTTCAGATATTGTTCATTTTTTGTATATAGTAACTGAAGATAAAGCGTTACATCTTGATTGGGATCCCAACAGTTTTATTCGTCAGTTACTCGACAAACGTTAATATAACTGTTCAATAACTGCTTACAAACTGCGTGAAATTTCCACCAGGGATTAAATTAAATTATTGAGAAATATTAGTTTTCAACATAGTTATCCTAATTCAAAGTTCTCCAGATCTGACAGATTCGGATTGCACTGTGTCCAAAAAAATCTGATTGTACGCGAAGGGTCAATTGCAGAGCAGTTAGTTCGCCATACGCAACCCCGAATTGTTTATTTGTGCAGTTTATTCACCTAAAGCATTTGTTCTTCTCATAAAAGCCTTTTATTGTTCTAACGAAAAAGTAAATAGCAGCAACGTGTGTGCATACAAAGTTATTGTTAACAACATAGCGTTTACTGCATAAATGGGTTGCCTGGCTATAATTATTTTACCATACAATTATGGTCACAAAATATCGAACACTTTTTTCCCAGCGTACTTATAAAAGCCGGCGTAAGAAAAAATGCAAAAAGAACGGCCGTCGAATCGCCGTGATTGTAAATTCGCGCAGTGAAGCGCGCTTATTTACGAATGATTGGTCACTAAAAAGCTATCGCCAAGAGGAGGCCTAAGTGAGCCGATGCTTTATTCGAGAATTTATTCAATTAGCTTAAGATGCTTTGCTCGATTGAAGTAAACGGCAAACCACCGTCGAGCTTATCGCCGACCTCTTCCCCTTATCATCGCGATCCCTCAGTTTCACGATACGCTTGCAGAGTGTCGGCTTCTTTGTGGGCGCGTGCTGCCTGGATCTGCAGGTGAGCATTACCGCGTCCGCCCTCTACACCCTCGCGACGCAGCTTTTGGGCGGCTACCTAGCGACGGCGGTTCCACCGTGGCTAGCGTGGGCCCGATACGCGAGCATGGTGCACTACGCCTATCAAAACATGCAGATTCTGGAGTTCGGCGTCGGCGAACCGATCACGTAAGACCATGCATATGTATCTTTCATTTTACAGATTGTCAAGAAGTGATATCTCGTATCTGCGAAACTATTTACCATCTTCGAGTCTTTAGTTTAGCGAACTCGGAATTTTTAATGAGAATCGATTAATCCATAATTTACTAATTGGAAATGAATAGTGGGGTTTATTAAATGAGAACGACAACCTCCTGTGGATGCCCGAAGGAGTTATTTTGACTCCTTGTGATTCTAATATTTTAAAATTTTCCCAGCACTGGGAGAAATTATCCGATAAAAAGTTTACAAACGGATATTTCCGATAAAAATACCGATGAATTTTTGTATTTGATCAGAAAACGCCCAATGAGAAATATCGGTTCATAATTTTTTCATCGGTTTCCAATCTTTTCTCAAACATGAGTTCTCTTTCTTCCTATCTAAAATCAAAACAGAAAAATCATGAAAACTCACATTTTTTAAGTCGGTAAAATCGATATACTTTTATGATATTAAAGAGGAAATTTAATGTTTATTCCAATTGTTATATTGTGAATAGAAAAAAAAATATTTTTAAGATACTTTGAGTATTTTACTGAATAATGGAATTATTTAGAAAATCAGCATGTATTTTCTTTAATGTCAATGTACTTTCCTCAATGTTAATGTAATTTCTTTAATATATACTGAGAGAAATTATTTGATAAGAAATTAACAAATAGATATTTCTGACCAAAATATCGATGTATTTTTATATCCGATCAGGATATTCGATTAAATTTAATCGGATACTTCCGATTGTAATGGCATTTTATCAGATAAACCGATCAAAAAATTATGAACCGATATTTCTCACCGATGTTTCCTAATCAGATACAAAAATTTATTAGTATTTTGATTTAAAATATTTGTTTGTTTAATTTTTTATCGTATAACTTCTCTCGGTATATTGCTCATTACTCGAATCACTATTGACTTCTGAACGTACTAAGAACAGTTTGCAAAATATACAAATTTCGTATTGTAAACAAATTACAGTAATTTTTGTAATTTTTCCAAACTTATAATTTCTAGTAAGAGAGATGCATCATAATTGTCACTTATTTAGCTTTTATAGTTAGTACAAAAAGACTGGTGAATGCACACAGAATAAGATATAAACTTAATAATCAATTAATAATCGGGATTAAAAAAACAAATCTCAAACAATAATTTATATATTGGTGATTAAATAAAGAGTCTCTAAATGATTCTTTTTGGGCATCTAAGACTAATCATAAAATAAATCATCACAATATCACCGACCTCTTTATATATTGGTGATTAAATAGTCTCTAAATGATTCTTTTTGGGCATCTAAGACTAATCATAAGATAAATCATCACAATATCACCGACCTCTTCCAGTGTTACTCTTTCAGTGTGTTCTACTTCAAAAATAATTGAAAATCACGAGAAATTTTTTCCTAAAAACCACAAGAAAGAAAAATGACAACAACAGAAAGATTTTAAAGGAATAAAAATGACTCCATCGAACACTCTAATGTTAATATTAATAATTGGGTTTAGCATAATTTGACGTAGAAGGTTCATTCACCACGTACGTTGCAAATTCGGAAAAATATTTGATACGTGTATTATTGTTCAAACATCATATTCTCCCGTGGTTTAAAATTGTTCACACTAATATCCAACGATAGACCATGTTTTTTCTCTT